AAAAATCTGAACCTGGGAATCTGAAACTGAGCGGGAAAATCGATTAAAATCTGGTAACATGAGATTAGCTGGTGACTAACGTGTTGTAATGCCCAAGGCTATTATAATGGCGGTTACACGGCTTTTATAATATTCCAATACAAAATAGTAGTCCTAACTAGCCTCAATAGCCTTGGGGATGGAGATCTTCTTGATGCCTTTGATGAAAAACACTTGGAGTAGTAGTGTAGGGAAGCTTGTGAGAGAGCCAAAAGGACTTAGAGAAACAATTCCATTTTCATCTTGATTAGTTGGAGTGGGAGGTTGAGAATGAGCTTGCCTAGCTCAGACCCCCTCAATACACCCCTTGTGGAACTATCCCAACCATTGTTTCCATGGTGGGATGGTTCCTAGGCTTGGAGCCTATGTGGCAATTAGTTGGGTTGGGAAAACCCAACCTAGAACCATTTGTATGGTAGTTTTTAAGATAGAGTAGATTGTTACACTGAATTAGCGATTTCTGATTGGTTAGAAATCCAACCTTCAACATTCCACTTTGATGGGTTGGAATTCCCCAAACCTATTGGTTGAGGTTTGGAATTCCCAACCCAACCCTTTCTCTCCCAACCCAACCTTCACTCACTCGTAGCCCAGTTTCTATCGAGAGAAATCTCGACGAATGCCTTTGAGTGTTAGGTTGTTAGCTAGGGAGTTAGGCAAGAAGTAGGTCGATGCGTTACATTCTCCCCCCCCCCCAGGTGGCAACATCCCCGTAGCCCTAGGGTGCTTCTTAGGACGAGCGCTTTGAGCACGACGCACCACATTACGACCAGGGTCAACCCTATCCACTGGTTGTGGGCCTGCTCGTAGAGCCAGGTCTTCCATATAAGCTTGAACCGCTGCTTCGGTCAAGTGTTCCTCAGGCTCCCAAGAGTTGTGTTCCGGCCCATAGCCTTTCTACTGAATTAGGAACTCACGAACTGTTGTTCGGCCGCGTTGTCGATCACGGTGCGTTAGCACACGTTCGACTTCATAAAAGAGTTCCTCCCCGAGAACGATGGTTGGTGGTGGTAAGTACTTGCCTTCTGCAACATACTTATTCAACAGAGACATGTGGAAGACGTTGTGAATCTGCAATGTCGCAGGCAACTTGAGACTGTATGCGACCTCACCAACTCGCGCAATCACCTCAAAGGGCCCAATCCAACGAGGGAAGAGCTTTTGTGCTCCCGGGATCTTGAGACGAATGTTCTTCGTACTCAGTAATACTTTGTCGCCAACTGCAAAGACGACTTCCCGGCGTTTCATGTCGGCATAGGACATTTTCCTCTGTTGGGCAAGCTACAGCCAATGGCGAGCGGACTTCAATGCCGCTTGTTGTTTTCCAATAAAGTCCTTTGCGGCATGGATTTTGAGGTTCTTAATCGCATGCGTCGCAGGGGTTGTGGGGTGCCGACCACTGTTCAGGACAAAGGGTTTCTCATGGGTGCTTCGATGCACAGAATTGTTCACATTGAATTCTACGTCTGGCAACAATTCATCCCAATCGTCCTGAGTTGGGCTTATGAAAGAATGAAGCATTTGCTCAAGAGTGCGGTTGGTCCGCTCTATCTGACCATCCGTTTGTGGGTGGAACGCAGACGACATCTTGAGTTTTGTTCCAAGTGTCTTAATGACCTCTTGCCAAAACCGGCTTGTGAAGCGCGGATCTCATTCAGACACCAACACACGAGGCAAACCGTGTAAGCGGAAAGCATGCGTCACAAACAACTTTGCCGTATCCTCTGCAGACACGTCAGTCGTCGTAGCCACAAAGTGTACCATTTTGGTCAAGCGATCTACAAACACTAGTATCGCCGTATGACCATCTCGCGTCTTGGGGAGATCGGTGATAAAATCCATCGATACACTCTCCCTAGGTTCATCGGGAATCTCAAGTGGTTGAAGCAAACCACCAGGATTCGGTGTGCTCGGCTTGTTCCGTGCACACGTGTCACAGCGAGTTACAAACTGCTGGACCTCAATGCCTAATCCCGGCCACCAGTATACATTACTGAGGGCCCACCGGGTTTTCTTGACACCCAGGTGTCCTCCATACTTAGTGGCGTGCACCTCTGCTAGAATGTCATTCCGTAGGTTTCCCACATGTGGGACAACAATTTCTTTCTTGTGCCACCAGAGCTCATGCTCCCACAAGAGATCCTTTGTATTCTATGAGTTCCGAAACCAAGGGTCAATATCATACACAGCGCGAATGCGTTTCAGAAAACCACCAAAGGCAATCTCGCTCACTCGAACAGCTGCGAGGATGCTGAAACAAGCAGCAAACACTGCTTCATGTTCATTATCATCAACACCTGTTGCTGCCCCAATCGGATGTCTGCTCAGAGGATCAGCCATGTTCGCCGAGCCCGCTCGATATCTAATGTCATAGGTGAACCCACTGAGGAGTTCGGCCCATCGAGCTTTACGGCGGGAGAGTGTGGCTTGAGTGGCAAAATAGGTGTTCGGACAGTGGTCGGTCGTGACCACAAAGTCAACACCTTTGAGATAACATCTCCATGTTCGTAGCGCATGCACACCGCCAACAATTCCTGTTCGGAAGTTGTATAGCGCTGCTCAGCCGGTGAAAGCTTTTTACTCTCAAATGCCACAGGGCGTCCTTCTTGCAAAAGAACTGCTCCAATCCCTACTGTCGAGGCATCAGTTACCACCTTATAGGGCTTAGACGGGTCTGGCAAAGCCAGCACTGGAGCATTGGTCAGCATGGTTTTCACCTCCTCAAATGCCTTCTGGCATTGATCGGTCCACTGCCAAGCATTACCCTTACAAGTGAGGGCAGTCAGTGGAGCGACTACGGAGGAATAATTTTCCAAGAAGCGGCGAAAATAGTTCGCAAGTCCAAGGAATGACCTAGCCTGTCCCACGTCCTGTGGAACGGGTCACTGTTGGACTGCCGCCACTTTCTTTGGATCAACTTTTGAGGCCATCGTTGCCTACCAAGTGACCAAGGTATTCTAACTCGCGTTTGTAGAAGTGACACTTCCACAACCGAGCAAAGAATTTATGCTCTCTCAGTCTTCCTAACACCCATTTCAGGTATTGTGTGTGTTCTTCTTTGGTCTTCGAGTACACGAGGATGTCATCCAAGTATACCAAGATGAATTGGCCGATTGCCTCCCGAAACACATCATTCATTGCTCACTGAAATGACACGGGAGCATTTGTCAAGCCAAAACTTAACACACGCCACTGAAAATGTCCAAACGGCGTTCGAAAAGCCATTTTAGGAACATCTTCCTCGGAATGCGCAGCTGATGATACCCCTGAGCTAAGTCCAGCGCACTGAACCATTGAGCTCCTTGGAGCCGATCGAACAGATCCTCAATTCGTGGTACAGGGTATCTGTTCTTCACCGTAATCTTGTTCAAGGCATGATAATCTACGCACATGCGTAATCCTCCGCCCTTCTTGTTAACGAACAAAATCGGTGCTCCGTAAGGGGATGCACTGGGTTCAATCCATCCTTTTCTGAGGTATTCCTCGATCTGTTGTTTGGCCTCTTTGTACTCAGCTGGACTGAGGCGATACAGAAGTCGAAAGGGTGGAACCTTTCCTGGTTCAACAGGGATGGTTTGACCCACTGCGCGGTCAGGCGGAAGTCCATCAGGGATGGTTTCAAACACTTCCTTAAATTCCTCTGCCGGTATTTGCATCTAAGGAGGGAAATCCTCAATTGCTGGCTCCGAGGCCTCAGCATTATCAAGCTGTACCACGAACAGTGTATCAGCCGACTTAACAGAATGCCCGAACTAGTTGGCCAACACACACAGCGCGCTGGAACGTTCAGGCGTCTATGTTTCAGTGGGCAAAGTATCATTGACTTGCCACTGGATTACCTTTCCTTTCTTGTTGAACGAGACAATGTTGTACTGGAAGTCCAGAATGACTTCGTTGGCTCACAACCAATCCATGCCCAAGATGAGGTCGACACCTGACAAAAGTGGTAGGACATACACGCGAACTGTTTCGCTATAGTCCTGTACATTCATGTCAATATGTGTCTATCCTTTACTTGGAATGACATGATCGTCACCCAAGCGGATGGGACATGACGGTCCTACAACGAGGACGTTGTGTCTCGTAACCCAAGTTTCATCAACAAGGGAAACCAACGCGCCTGTATCGACGAGAATCCTTGCTTCGTCCCCTTTCATGCGTCTAGATAACAGTAGATTCTATTGGAATCTTTGACGGATGGGACAAGCGACAACAAGTTTAGGAGGTCGATAGTACACCCGAAATTTGTTGTGAGCACATCCAAACCTTTGGGATGTGGTCCACCATACATGGTGCCCTCTGTCCCATGTTGCCAAGATATTCCATTCATGAAATCGGCGGAATGATTCTCCTTTCACGATTCGAGTCACCAATCCCACTGACGTGAGCGGGTGCTCTTGGACACAACGGTCCACAATATCCATGATTGCTGGCAACTCGTTGAACGTGCAAGAGATGATTGAAATTTTATCTCTCAAAGGTTCAATTGAAATGTTTCAAGTGGGTTTTAAAAACAGATTTTTCATTAATAGAAGAGGCATACAAACAGGCGATTTCGCATGATGCACGCTTCTCTAGCTTTAGCAAATCCTCATCACGAAGGACATAAGCCTCATCTACTCGATCTCGCTCACCAACTAGGTACCCACCCCCTAGTTGGACTTCGGAAAATCCTTTGAACCCGAAGGGCCAGAACTATCCGGCTTCTTGCCCTGGTTGGGCTTGCCAGAGTTCTTGACGGACTTCCTCCAACGGCAGTGATAGACCTTGTGGCCAGGCTTGCCACAAATGCGGCAGCCCGCCGGGAGCTTATCATCATCCTGAGGATCCTTGGCAGGCCCAGCATGGGCCCTCTTGGACTGAGTCCCAGAGGATTCACCCCTCTGCTGATAGGGCCTCTTCCAAGAGCCACCGCCCCTGGGCACATGGGTCCTGCTACCACCCCCCTAGGGCCTTCGGCACTAGGCTGCTGCTGAGCACGAGTGCTCTTGAGGTCCAGGTACGCACGGAAGTGCACATCCGTGCTCCTTACACTCCTTGTAGGTCTTCCACTGGTGCTCCCCCTTCACCACATGCACACGCTTGATGTGCTCGGGGAGTCCCTTGAAGAACTGGTGGATGACCTCGCTCTCAGGAAGAGCAGTCTTCAGCAGCGACAGATTTTTCTCAAACTCCTTGGCGTACTCCCGTACAGGCTGGTCACCACACTGGATGTTCTCCAGGTGGCTACGCACCTCGAGCGCCGGGGGCTGAACCAGGAATGCCGTCAGCATGGCCGCTTTGAACTCCTCCCAGCTTAAAGGGTGGCCATTCGCCTCTGCGTGGCGCTTGTTGGCATACACCAACTTGGTCGCAGTGTCGTCCAGGGCAAGGGTCGCAACGACCACACGAGCCTCGCTACGCACATTGTGGATGGACATAAAGTCCTCCGCAATGGAGAGCCAAGTCTCAACGTCAGTTTTGCCATGGACAAAACGATGCAGGGCCGAAGGGCAGGAGCCAAAGGCATTTGCAGCTGCAGCAAGAGGCTAAGCACATGCTCCAAAAGGAGGAGGAACAGCAGGAGGTGCAGCAGCAGGTGCAGCATGGCTGTTAGCGGCATTGGCGACTCGTTCTGCTGCAGGAGTAGGCTGATAGAGGTTTCCACGCCGGATCTCCCTGTACTGAGTCTGAAGCACAGAGATGTTCTTCTCTTGCTTCTTGAGCTGATACTGCACGAACTGGAGAGTGGTGTGCAGGTCCTGAATGAAGCTGGAGGTGTCATTTTCCTTAGGGATCAACTGCACCTCCCTGGTCAGCTTCTCAATCAAGGCATGAAGCCACACAAAATCAGCCTCCAAGTTCTGGATGCGGCACTGCTGCTCTCCAATGAGTAACTGCTGCTCCATGAGTTGAGTCTGAAACTTGACAGCAATGTTCTCAGTCTCATTGGAAACACCCTCATCAGAGCCAGCCTCGTCCTCATTTTCAGCATCAGCCTCAAGCTCAGCTTCACTTCCATTGATCTCCATGTCAACCACGAAGTCATCAAGGTTGAGATCAATGTCAGCAGCAGCAGCAGCAGCAGTATCTCCTTCATTGCCAACAACAGGCACCTCCTTAGTAGCATCCATCTCTTGACCAGAAGCCATGAAACAGGTTAAGGAGAGGAGATCTCAACAGATCTTATAATAATCTTAAAGAAATCTGATTACTCTTATTGAATAATCCAATACAAAATCTCTTAAGATTGACTTGTTTCTTAAATCTCTCTATCACCGCAATGATAGAGCAAGATATACTCAAAAGAGTAATCCTCAACAAGTCCTTGTAGATCTGAAGATTAACTCTTCTACCCAAGGTAGACCAAGAATCTTCCACCAAAGGTGGGTAAGAGAATATATTCTCTTCAAATTTCTTCTCTATGTTGATAAAAAAGAAGAAGCTCCTTGTAGATCTTGCACTCCAATGAAGAGTTGAAGTAGTTGTAGCTTTGTAAATAATTTTCCCGAATTCTTTATCGGGGTTGACTGCTTCGCGTACAACCCGATTTTCAGAGTTCGCACGTTCGGCCGATTTCAACGCTGCTGAGGCTCCTCTCGTCGCCTTCGGCATTTCCATCGCCAAACCTGCACCCAACCTCGTCCCCCGAGGTTTCCTCCTAGCTAGACTAGCCCTACATTAGTCTGTGCATTCATTGTATTCTCAGTTCATTCAGTCACTGTCTCATTATTCGTTTATCTGCGCACTCTCTTTTACAATTCATAACACCTGGTATCAGAGCTACTTTCCTAGTTCACCCCGCTTTTCCGAGGGTAGTTTGGTGGCATAGGGTGTGGCTGGTTTAGTGACTACACGACGGTTGGCTGCAGGGATTGTTAATTCAATCCTGCCCGACTCCGATAGTTCGTGTTTTCACTTGCCTGAAGGCCACGGAGACCCGACTGCCCACCAGACGTAGCGCTAGGCACATGGATCAGGAGGCTGTCAACCGGATGATGGCGCAAGTGGCAGAGATGGAGGAGAGAATGAAGACATTAATGGCGGAAGTGACAACACTACGAGAGGAAAACGCCGAGCTACGCCAGACGCGAGGTGAAGCGCGTCAGGAGTCGCCTGCGGACGAAGGCGAGGGCAACAGTCAGGCGATGAGCAACCCACTGGATGCTCTCACACGTGACTTCAAAGAAGAAGATAGGCAACGAGCGGCAGCAGCGCCAGTTGCAGTGTCAGAATCCCAACCACTAGACCATTGGGATAAAAGGGCTTGTTTCAGTAGCGGGTCAGTGCGCCCATAACCCCCCAGGCAAACGCGCCTGTAACCCCCCCTAGGATCGATCAGGGATCTCACGGTGTAGCTCTACTGACACCCCCCCACACTGGGAGGCCCAGGACTGAGCACAGTGGCAACGGCCAACATGTGCATACACCGGGATTCGAACCCGAGACCGCTCTGATACCATGTCAGAATCCCAACCACTAGACCATTGGGATAAAAGGGCTTGTTTCAGTAGCGGGTCAGTGCGCCCATAACCCCACAGGCAAACGCGCCTGTAACCCCCCCTAGGATCGATCGGGGATCTCACAATGTAGCTCTACTGACATGCAGTTACGACGATCAAGATCAAGCCCGTCAACCCGCCCCCGTTTAATCCTACGGACAAGACAGCTACAGTGAAGGGGTGGCTGTTCGGTGTCATGGTCTTCTTCACGGCAGCAGGCGTTAACGACGATGCCACGCGTATTAATTACACGGTTTCACTTCTTCGGGGCGCGGCGCTTGAGTGGTGGCGCCGGACCTTAGAAACAGGGACTCCAACAAGTGTGACACATGTGGCAGACGGGACCTCTACAATGGTTAATCAAGTGGCAGAACTGATCTTCGGTGTGACCAAGATACGCACGTGGAAGGAGTGGAGTGCAGCCTTACGAGATCGCTTCGAGCACGTATCCGCCTCGGAGCAAGCTCACATGAAGCTGCGTGCATGGTCGCAGATGGCTTCTGTCCAAGACTACACGGCGTCATTTATGGGCTTCGCCGACCAGATCGATGACATGTCGGAAGCAGAGCGGTTGGATAAATATGTAAGCGGCCTTAAATATGAGATACAGTTTGAGGTCCGCCGAAGCCGCCTGACATCGTTCCTCGAAGCAGTCCGCGTGGCGGATTCCACTGATGCGCTGATGCAGTACGCGAGAGCAGCTTCCAGGGATGGGAGAAGCTTTCGTGGCCAGACCCATCGGGCCACGATCAACGCCATCCATACACTCGACCGCCCTCCTAAGGGTCCATGTTTTCGATGTGGGAAGGTGGGTCACTACAGGAAAGATTGCCAGGAGAAAATGCCACTGACAGGGGACGACAGGACAGAGCAGGGAACTAGGAAGAGTCAGTAATTAGCGGGCCCTTTACTGACTCTGCTCCGTCGCCCGAACACCATCATTGAGAAAACTGAAACAAGAATGATTGAACTATGAACCAGTTGGGTACAAGTACTAACCCTAATTGGGTTGTACCCCTTATGGGCTACCCCACTACAGCCTACACAAATGTATAAGCTATAAAGTTCTGACACACCCCCATAGACAAAGTGGGGGAGAACAAAGGGTCACAAGGCCAGTCAAGAAAAGCAAAGCAAAGCAAGCTCAGGGTGGATCACAACGTCACCACACATTCCGAGCACAAGTTCAAGGCCACAAGGCCAGTTCACATGCAGGAGTACATATATATATGGAAGGCTAAACAAGCAAGAGCAGGTGTATATATATGTAACAGTACAAGCAAGGTCAAGAGGTGAGTAAGTGAGGCAAGACAGGCAAAAGGCCAAGCTGAGTACAAAAATGCTGATGATCACAAGGCGCAAGTGCCTTGGTGAAGATATCAGCAGTGTTGGCCTCAGAGGCCACGTACGCAAAACGCAGCTGACCACGCTCCTGCAGCTCACGAGCAAGGAAGTAGCGAAGAGCAATGTGCTTCGTTCTGTGCTCCAGTCTCTACTCTCGACACAAGGCCAGCATGGCCTTGTTGTCTACGTACAGCACTAGAGGAGAAGGAGGCACCTCTCCAAGGTCAGTCAGCAGGTAGGTGAGCCAGCGAAGCTCCCGTGCAGCCATGGCCCCGGCGTAGATCTCAGCCTCACAACTGGAGCCGAGAACAGAAGACGAGTGGGTAGCCCGCCACGAAACAGAGCCGGAACCAAGGCTAAAGGTGTAACCCTGTGATGACCGCTGCGTAGCCTGGTCGTCAGCCCAAGAAGCGTCTGCGTGCCCAGTGAGGACCACTGGACTCCGCCCTCCAAGCACAAGCCCCATGCCCGACGTACTACACAAGTAGCGCAACACCCTCTTCGCTGCAGCCATGTGCTCCGGTCTGTGTCTCCCAGGAGCAACATAGCGTGCGAGAATGCTAAGAGGGTATGCAAGGTCAGGTCGAGTGCAGGTCATCAGGTACATGAGGCAGCCAACAAGCTCTGGGTACGGGCCACTCGACTCTACGGACTCATCCGAAGGCAGAGCTGAGAGCGAGTGGCGAGTAGGCAGAGGAGTGGCCTGAGGCGAGGAGTACGTGAAGCCGAAGCGCTGAAGGACCTGCTGCACCATGTGTGACTGAGTCAGGGTAATGGTGCGGCGTGCTCTGTCCAGAGTGATCTGCAAGCCAAGGTAGCTACGCAACTCACCCAGGTCTGTGCACGTGTGTCTCTTCTGCAGCTCGGACTTCACGTAGGCGAGTCCAGCAGTGTCAGCTGTGGCAAAAACCAAGTTGTCGACGTACACGAGGATGTAGAACAGCGGCAGAGAGGTGTCGGTGCGCTGAAACAGCGACGGGTCAGCAGTAGAGGGAGCAAACCCAAGAGCCGCAAGCGTAGTCCTCAGTGTGTCGTGCCACTCACGCGGTGCCTGGCGGAGACCGTAGACTGGACGCCGGAGACTCCACTGGGTACCAGGAGGGAAAGACCCAGTGAAGCCAGGTGGGCGACGCAGCCAGATCTCCTCGTGCAGGCTGCCCTGCAAGAAAGCAGTGCTGAAGTCGAGAGAGTGCAGCTCGTAGTCACAGTGAGCAGCAACGTGCAGCAGTACCAGAAGAGTGGTCATCTTCGGGGTGGGGGAGAAGGTCTGAAAGTAGTCATCTCCCTGCCTCTGACTGAAGCCACGAGCCACGTAACGCGCCTTGAAGACAGGCGGAGAACCCGGCGGCCGCTTCACCCTGAAGATCCACATGCCACTGACTATGTTCGCCCCAGGAGGGGGAACAGCGTCAACGTAGGTGCCTGTGGACTTCCAGGAAGCCATCTCTGCATCCATAGCTGCCTGCCACTGAGAGGAGTAGGGACCCTCTATCGCCTCCGCGTAAGAGCGCGGAGTCGGGATGTCTAGTGCATCCGGGTCTCCCTCAGGGGCGAGCAGTAGAGACGCGAGATGAGGTGAAGCGGCGGCCAGACACTGGAACTCCTCCTGCCTGTCCTCAAGGACGTCCGTGCCAAGGGCACACTCACCCCCGACGGACGGAGGACAGGCAGACTCAGACCCAGCGACAAGACCAGCAGCGTAGTCGAGACGACAGCGCGCAGCAAAGTCGACAAGCTCAGTGACAAGGGCAGACGCAGCCGAAGACTCGAAAGAAGGGTCAGTGACAGCAGTAGCAAGGAGACGCGTAACAGTAGGACTGGCAGCACGAAGAGAGTCCGACTCCGGGTCAGCAAGAGCAGGAAGAGAGGAAGCAGGAGGAGAAGGCAAAGGGGCACGCAGAGGAGCAGTGGACGGACGCAAAGACATCCGGTGCGTGCCAGGGACAGGAGGAGGACGCTGACGCGAACCGCGACCACTAGTGCGAGCAGCACGGACAGGCGACGCAGGGCGAGACGCAGGCTCACGACGCTCAGCAAGACCTCCGGTAGGACCAGTGTAGGGAGAAGGAGCAGGCAGTGGGGAGGCGGGCTGTGACTATAACTGTGACGGGACAGGCTGTGGACACTCTAAGGGAGGAGGAGGACCAGTAGAAGGCGGGAGACCAAGAACCTGCTGAAGGAGCGGAACGAAGTACGGCCGAGGCCGCGCAGCAACTCCAGATACAGCAGGGACAGCACCAGCACCCCCAATGGCAGCACCCGCGCCAGCAGCACCTCCAGCTCCAGTAACTCCAGCAACACCGTCG